CGGTCAGACGCACACAACCGTCGGCTAGAGCCGGTGTGTGGGCCTCCTGACCCCGCCGCTCGAGTCCCGCCAAGGAGTGGACGAGCCGAGCTCATTGCTGCGACATCTCTCTCTTTTCCTCTTCCCTCCTCTGTTTCTCTCCGCCGCCGCCGTCGCCTTGTGTCCACGAGTGCGCCCGAGATAGGTCACCTATATTCAATTCGTCTTGTCCGCACCTCTGCCCTCACGTCTCCTCGCTGTCTGACCCCTCACCGTCTTGATGACGGCCCAGCCATGCGCCAATTTGGCGTTTTCCCGTCGGTATGCCGTTAAGGCCGCGCCGCAGCCATGAGCGAGGGCAGGGCTCTCATCTCTCCACCCGAGCCTAATTGCCCACGCCTGTAGGTGTGCCTTGCCTTCCTCTTCGTCATGCGTGCCTTGGTTTAGTCGCTACTAGCTCCACTCCGCCGCTGACTCGACCACGCCGTCTTGGAGTGCCGCCGCATTTCACCAACCACACGTGGCCAGCACTGTTTGGGGAATCTTCAGCCAAACCACCACCGCAGCCGTAACCAGGGTACTACAGTGATGCTATATGCTAGCTAGTTCACCCCGTGGTGGCTTAGGGTGGCGGGCGTGGTCATGCCACTGTCGCGCATGGCAGCGCGCCGTGGTCCCCACTTCCTCAAGCTCCGCCGCTCCTGTAGCCTAGGCTAGTGTAGGCGCTAGGGTTGTAGATGGGTGTCGGCCCGTTAGTGGGGCCAGCGTGGGTCCTAGCTGGCCGGCGAGGCCACCTAATGCGATCGCCGGCGCGCGCGCGCGGGTGGCGGGGGGCCTCACCGTTGTAAAGAAGAGAATGTTCCGAGGATTCATTTGCATAAGTGTTGTCTCTTGGAATAGCAACGTGGACCCTGGGTTAGTTTGCCAGGAGTGTAGGGGTGTTTTTGCACATGTGTCGCGTCCGCGCGAGCCTCCCTGTTGTGGGCCGCCTCGCGTGGGCCGCGCTCATGCGTGCGCTGTGCCACGCGTTGCGGGCCACGCGGAGGATTTGGTTTTTCCTTTTTCCTGAAAATCATATAGGTTTTTTCCTTTTTCCCGTAAATTATATAAAATCATGTAGGTGTCCAAAAATTGTGAAATAAATTCTGTTGAGTTCCTAAAAATGTTGTCTATCTAATAGTATGGTTAGTTTATACATTTCTATGTTGATGCTAAGGTCTATTAAATCATTTGGAAGTGTTTAATGTTATTTAGATTAATAATTGTAGGAATTTTTGTGGCAATTTGGTAATAGCTTTGGTCATGAAATTTTTACAGTAGATTTATTAGATTATTATGTGCTCACTGTAATTTTTGTAGCCTTAGAATGGGTTGAGAAATATGGTGGCTAAGTACTCCTTGTTGTAGTAGATATATTAAATCGGTAATAAGAATAAGGATGCCTTTAGTTGCTAAGATAATACGTGAAATGTTTCATACCTGTTTAGTGGGAATAATAGGTAGCTTAGCATCGTAGTCATTAGAGTTAGCTTGGTAGATGTATTCTTATTTTAAGAGTTGCTGTTGCCGTATTACTAAGTATTGCATTATCATTTCATGCATGTAGATAACGAGTTGGTAGAGTTCATGACTGTGGGTGAGCAGGAGTACGAGGAGGTAATTAAAGAGTACGAGGAGGAGATTCTCGTACAGGAAGGAGCCCCGGGCCACCAGCGATTGACTTTGCTGACACCGCGCCTGCCCAAGGCAAGCCCCAGTGCATATATATATATATATATATATATATATATATATATATATATGATGTGCATTTACGTTACAGGCATTTTATGAAAACTATATGCATAGATATACATACCTATAAGTCCTACTAGTATAGGTCGAGTAGCTGCTATGCTTAGAATTTTTGGTTGCGTGAGTAACCTGTCGTTACTCACAATAGATGATTATTATTATCACTCTCATAATAAAATGGTGAAAGAAAAATAGAGACCGGACAGGGATATGTATTGGTATTGGTGGGTGTAAGAGGTTGTCCCGCGGCTAACGGTGCATAGCTTGGTTACATTGTTTTCTCTGTCCGTGTCGGTTAAGGACCAGCCATTATATTGGGTTTTAGGCAAGTCATAGATTTATTATCCTGAACACATACTTATTTATGGGAGCAGAGAAGGCTTATTGCTCTATTGTCATGGGTTTTGGCTCTTTTCGGACCAACTGATTGGAGACAGGGATGGTAGAGGTATAAGCACCACACTGAGTCCGGGACTCATGTGTGGGGGTTTGGAGTACAAGTTTGGACGGGGACCTGGACCTCTTTATAGGAGAGTGGTGGGTTGGTCCTACTTGTGCCTGGGGTCAAGAGGGGCATGTATTTCAGGGTATCCAGCTGGGCACATTGATTCGTGAATCGCTGGGCAATCTAGTATGACTTGTCTATAGTCTAGCACCGTAATAAGAACTGAAAGATAAAAGATGGTGAAATGGAGTTGTTTGCTCAACCCTTGCTTGAAAGTAGAATATGTGCTTACATACAATTGTTAGACAATGAAATAATCATGACCGCTAATAATAAACATACATAAGGATTCACTATTAGTGTTGCTTTCCGGAAAAATGAAACTCAACAAACCATAAAGCTTATCATATCCTTTGGAGTCAGGAAATTATTTTCACTGATCGGATAAGTCTTGCAAGTACATTGTGTACTCAGGGTTTATTTACCCCTGTTGCAGGTGCAGCTTGAGGAGTAACTATTGTATGAATGATTCTTCTAGTGGGCACAAATGGATCCTTGTATATTATCGATAGATGTTTATTTTAATTCCGTTGTTTAATTTCCGCACTCTGAACTTGGTATTGAAATAATATATTTCTAAGAACTCTGGTTGTATAAAATGGACTAAGTATTGTAAACTCGTTCTCGTTATTGGACCTTGGAGGAAAAATGTGGATTATTTGAGTTCTCTCTTGGGTTTCCTCGACGGAATCCGCCCGGTGTAACTTGCTTTCGGGATGCTTAGTGTCTGGTGGAAGACGAGCGCCTCCGAAGGTGTGTTATTCGGACGGTTCTGCCACAGGAATACATGTTTTTTCCACCTCCATGCGAGCCAGAGGAGACGCCGGAATAAGATTGAGAAATTAAAAAACGGATGGGGAATTCACTCAAGATACATAGGAGATTGGGCGCATGGTCTCCGAGTTTTATAGTAAGCTATATTCTTCGGAAAACGGAGGAGTTGGGGTGATAGGACCGGCACCAAAGGAGAAGTAGGGCGCCGGGGCAGGCCCATGTCCCTTGCTAGATCCCGCCTCTAGCACGATGGTCGAAGATCAACGTCGACACTTCTCTCCAAGAATATGCATACTGGTTCGGCAACTGCTGTTGCACGGGATGGGAATGAAGCTTTCTTGGGGTCATCGGCATTGGTAAAGCGATGAGGCCAGAATTAATTGAGGCAGTGGCTTGCCGGGAAGTGCTGGGATTGGCCAGCGATCTGGCATACAGAGGCTTTAGATTGCTTCGGACTGCTTGAGCCTCATCAAGAGCATTGGAGGAGCAAGTATGGGTCCTCATGCCCAGATTATTCAGGAGACCAATGCACGACCAGTGGAGTTTGTCTCAGTGAAGTTTGTTGGCGAGAGTCGTAAGTCCAACAGGCGAGAGTAGTAATAGATTTGTTTGGTTTATGAACCCGCTAGAAGGCGTTTGTAATTGCTACTCTCCTGGTAATCATTAAATCGAGGAGTGCAGAGTCTAAAAAAAATCCGAACACTTCCTAAGTTACGCTCGGTTCATCATGAGTCCCTCTTTGACACAGGGTCTACGGACATTGACCATATGAATCCGTTAGTTTGACTATTGCCCGGCACACTCTTTGGCTAGAAGTTGTGTTTACGAGTCCCTAGGTAGATAAATTTAAGCGGGTCTTTTGGCACTTGTAACTCTTTCTCTATGAACAATGAATAAATGAAGGAGTGTTTTCTTAAGAAAAGTCAATTTGTTTTATGGAGAAAAAGGAGTACTACGTGCTGCGGAACGATTTTTTCACATAGTAAATCTAATAAATATTTAATAATATGAATATATTGCTTATAAAATTTGATGAGCTATACTCACTTTGTTTTGTTTACTTTTGGTTTCAGACGTCGTTCTTTGGTTCGTGAAGAAATCATCTTTAATTTGGTTTGTGTGAAAGAAAAATATTATTAAAATTTGAAAATTTACGATCGATACGATAAAGACAAGCCAAACGAATCGTCTGATCATCAGCCTATTATCACTATTTCATTTGTTGGTTTCAAACCAAAACCAAAACAACCAAACCAACAATATTTTCTTCTCATAATAAACCAAAGACTGCCCAAGATAAATCAAATTTCGTAAACCAATAACACCGTGTATAGTTCTAGATGAGATTGATCACGATTTTCACGAGAGGGAGACCAAGGGCATTTTGGTAACCCCAGGTTCTTGAAAACTCCAGATACACCCGTATCCAGATTGGGAACTGGGGCCTGAAACCACGCGCAAATCCACGCCCATCAGTATATTCGTACACCTGTTTCACAGAACACCGGGAAATCAGTCCAACCCCATCCCCCGACCGGCCGACCCATCGCGCACGTCGACAGCGAGAGCAGAACTACCACTCACCGGTCCACAGTGCACGGGTTCCACTAACGGGCGCTCGCGCGGTTTTGTTTCAAGGTAGAAATTGCATTTCCCGCTGTGCGCGTCGGGCGGCGCACACTGGCCTGCGCCCGCACCGCCCACTCCATCCAACGGCTCCGATGCGCTCTGCTCCCCTCCCGCGGATCGCGATCCGTGGCTTCGCCTCTCCAGCCAATCAGGATGCAGACTCCCCTCCCGCCGGATCGCTCCCTTCCCCGCCTATAAAACGGAGGCGACGGGTCCCGTCGAATCTATCCATTCCACAGCTCCCGCTCCGAAATCAAGGTAGCACACACAGCTCCAGTTTCTAGAGCCCTCTTTGCCTCGCACGATCCCACCAGCCACGATGCCTGCCCTCGCCAAGCCCGCCTCCCGCCCCGCCAAGACAGCCACGGCGCCGAAGCCGAAGCCCGCCGCCGCCAAGCCGAAGGCAGCTGCCGCCGGGGCCTCCCACCCGCCCTACTTCGAGGTGAGTCTCGTCGATCTACGTACGGTTTTCATTGATTTGGGTTTCGTCCGAATTGTGGGCTGATCGAATCTTGTTCTGATCCGTGCCCTTGCAGATGATCAAGGAGGCGATCTCGGCGCTGAAGGAGAGGACTGGCTCCAGCTCCCACGCCATCGCCAAGTACATGGAGGACAAGCACGGCGCGTCGCTGCCGGCCAACTTCAAAAAGATGCTCTCCATCCAGCTCCGCGGGTTCGCTGCCAAGGGCAAGCTCGTGAAGGTCAAGGCCTCGTACAAGCTCTCCGACGCCGCCAAGAAGGCCTCCCCCAAGCCCAAGGCGAAGCCCGCCGCCGCTAAGACCGCTGCGCCGAAGCCGGCCAAGGACGCCGCCAAGCCCAATAAGAAGACGGCCGCAGCAGCCAAGCCCAAGAAGAAGACGGCCGCAGCAGCCAAGCCCAAGAAGGCCGCCGCCGGGACCAAGCGCAAGGCGCCGGAGAAGAAGAAGGTGGTCGCGAAGCCGAAGAAGTCCCCCGCCGCCAAGGCTAAGGCCAAGCCCAAGACCGTCAAGTCCCCCGCCGCCAAGAAGGCCCGGAAGGTGTCCGCGTGAGATGGGTTGCTTAGGTTGTAGCTCTGATCGTGGCGTGGTGTTGGCTAGGATTTGTACAAACGAAGCGTTGCCCCCAAAGCGTATCTGATGGTTTGTTTTGTCGTAGGCAAGTTCTATCCGCCATGGTTTCTTAGTGTAGCAAATGCAAATCGGTAGGCTTCTTGTGATGCAGATGTATCCAGTTCTTCTCATATATGAAATCAACTTGGTTTCCGAAATCTCTATTCTGAATTGTGATTGCGCACTGTCGTTTAATCTTGCAGTCCTGGATGTTTTCCCCCGAAACACGATTGCATAATTGTTCTGATCTAAAGCCTTGATGTCTTGGGCAACGCTGGAGGATTCCGCTGGTTCGCTTTTCATTTGGGGTGCGGCTTATTTCTGCGCTTAATCGTCCTGCAAAGTGGCTTATTTCTGTGCTTTATCGTCCTCTAAAGTGAATTGGAGGGGTTTGTTTCAAAAAATACAGCTTATCGAGCGATGCAGTGCACAATTGTTTCGTGCTCCACTGCTCTTCTTCCACGTAGAACTGTTGTCACTACTGTCTTTTAGCGTAGGAATCGTGGTGGCCGTGGCAACAGACTAACGGTGGCTGGGCACCGTCCGTAGCTGCATTGGGATCACAGCGGCCGAAACGGATGAAACCGATGAATGGGTTTGAGTTCGCTGTGAGAACTGACTGGTTCTTCTGATCCGCAGCTTATCCAATATTTGCGTGTTCATCATGGGTCATGGCGTGCCCGCCGATACAGTCTATAGCACATGTTCACCCCGCGGTCCTCGCGCCGGGTAAATCAAATTTCGTTGGCCGCGCGATTCAAAATTTTGGAGCCCGCAGTACCGCGCCGGACGCCGGTCGCCAACCTGATCCAGTAGTTGAGGTCGGAAACGGTCGAAAAAACTCATACTTTTAAATTTGAAATACGAAAACAAAAGCGAAAACAGTAAAGCTGGACACGAAAATGAACGCGAACTTACGAAATATCGAGAATTCTGAAAACGAACAAATTCGAGCGGATTTATGTCGAACACGGTCGATATACGAAAACTCAATACGGAATACTGACTCGTAGGACCAAGTGCATGACTAACTACATACATGATCAAGTTCAAGTGCATATAATAATTAACAAGTACATGATCCTTGGTTTTATGTATTTAACACAATAGCCGACACATAAATACAAGTCTAGAACAAGCAATTAGTAGCTAGCAGGATAATATGAATTAAAATTAGATGTAGCAACTAGCAATTGGGCTTTATTATGACCTGTGCAGTTAGCCAAATTCGGTTTAAACCAAATTTTGAATTCGGAATATTTCAAATTAAAAGTAGAAAAGTAGAAAACGGTCGAAAAATGTCTAAACCGTTTTCTACTTTTACATTTGAAATACGAAACATCTTAAATGCGAAAGCGAAAACGGTAAAGTCGGACAAGAAAATATGGATATTTCCTTTCCGTTCTCATCCTTAGTTGAGGTAAATATCGTTGGGTGGTGCCAGCTTGGCAGTCCAGTCTTATCGCGAACTCTACCCGTGCACCGCCAATGCGCGCGCGTGGGCGCTCCAGGATATATGACGAGTCAGGTGCACTCCTCGGTCCCAAGTGTCACTATAAAGATTCGTGTCGTGTTGGCGAGTAAAAAAAAAAAAGATTCGTGTTGGTTATTTTTTTAAAAAATGATTAGGTTTATAAAAATATTAATAATGTTTGCATGTACAAATAAATTTATTATAAAAATGTATTCAATGATTTATCTAATATAATATAGTAATTATATACCATATAAATTAATGTTTTCTTATATGTATTTGGTTAAAATTAAAAATGTTTGACTTCTCGAGTGGGACGAGGAGAGTAGTGCAGATGTAGCAAATACCTGTCCACAGTAAAACCAATAAAATAATGTTAAACCACCCTAAACACATACTGCGTGTGCAATTTTGCACCGGCGTCCGCGGTCGCTCGTGGGTTTTAGGCACTTGTTGGGTGTGCTAATATCACGAGTAATATAGTATCATGATTGCGTTAATAATTATGGAAAGTTGAAACAAGCAAAGTTTGTCAATGTAGCATACATCTAGTCATCTACCACATAGGTGAGTCATGCGATTTAGTACCTGCACCCGACCCTTATTCATTTTGGGACTCGACTCGATGAGACCCACTTGTGTGATTTGGCACCCACGCCCGTACTCGCGGGTCCAACTGCCATCCCTAACTCTAACATTTTCGTTGTGTGGTACTAGTTGGACTTTTGTTAGAGTTAGGACCACTGGCGGAGCCAAGTGCAGGCCATACGGGGCTCCGACCCCCCTTGCTATCCAAGATTAATTAAGGTTTACTCCGTACGTGTATATAATTGCAAGTCTAAACTGTCCATCTGGAGAGCTAGATATTCTAAGTTTGCCCTCTTTGCAAAGTGCATATATAAATCAGTAGTTGTTTTATCTATATTTAGCAAGTACTAGCTGATCGACCACAAAACTATGATCAATCTGACCAATTTGGCCCCCCTTGATTGTGATTCTGGCTCCGCCACTGGTTAGGAGGCCACAGAGCACAGACCAGGCTGACAAGCGAGGATCAATGACGGGTTGGATCTTGGATCAGACCCCAAAAGCATGCCTTTTTAACATTGCGCACCTGGTCACGGCAACGACCCACGCTTTCTCTGCCCCATCCTCCTACGGGTCACGCACGTGGTTGATAATGTTGTGTGTATATGGATAACAATTGGTTTGCACCTAATGGGTATCACTCATCATATTCATATTTATCAGAATTTTTTGCACCCATGAAGAAGCTCATACCCATGTGCAGGTGCAATTTTGTACCCATGCCTATACGGGTAGCGGGTACCCAAGGGTTACCCATGCCTGAGAAGAAATGTAATGCATGCTTAAACTATGACTATATGAGAAAGTAATGGAATAACGAATATGTAACAAATATACTAGAAAAATGATATTATATGTCACCTCTCTTTTATGGCACTAGGTGTGCAAGTTGCCTTGTTGGACCATATTTTGGAGTACATTAGGTTAGGCAATGGCTTCAATTATAGTTGCATATTGAGTATATACATATCATGGATTTATACGTTCGGGTAGAACATAACCATATCCATACCCACGAACTCAATGAGTATGGATTTTTTCTATTAACATATCCATAGGTAAGTAAATTAGCCCACACTTATATCTTAATGGGATAAAAGCCTATCAGGTTTCGGATCGCAGGTATCGATTGCATCTCTAGGTGCGTGTGTGTCTGTGGAGACAAACGACCCTCGAAGAGAATACCGTCGAGGGTTTTTCTGGTTTCAGGGATTGGCATGGCCTAGTAGCCACTGGATTTTTTTCAAGTTCTTTTCCTTTAGAATACTTTTGGCTCAGTTGCTAGCATTCACTATGAAAGTATGATCCCCTTTTCCTCACCAAACAAAGTTGATATGTAAATGCTGAGTTACTTCTAGTCCCGGTAGCATCTCCGTTCTTCAGTGGCAAGCGCAGTGTCACACTCGGCTTGCTGGTCAATTTCGTTTTTATTAGAATTGAGACGTACAACTACAACTAACCTTAATTAGCAATCTCTTAAATAGTATTCCATCCGTTCCAAATTCTAAGTCGCTTTGACTTTTTGTTTCATCCATTTTACTATACATATATATAGACATATTATTTATCTAGATGCATAGTAAAATCGATGTATCAAAAAAGTTAAAGCGATTTATAATTTAGAACGAATGGAGTATCAAGCAGTGTTCCAAAGCAGTTGACAATGAGAAATCAGAGACAATCGCGCCAAACATCCCATTGTACTGGCGATTATCCCAATCATGACAGACACAAAAGACCGCGCCAGCTGCTTATCTACTAACTTGCCTGCTGATAGTACCACTTAGTCACCACTACACTTGCTCTCCTTGAAATAGAGAACTGATGGCCCCATTTAGATACTGCTACGCTAAAGTTTAGCTCCGTCACATCGGATGTTTGATATTAATTAGAAGTATTAAATATAGGTTAATTACAAAGCTAATTACATAGATAGAGATTAATTCGTGAGACGAATCTTTTAAGCCTAATTAGTCTATGATTTGACAGTGTGGTGCTACAACAAACATTTGCTAATGATGAATTAATTAGACTTAATAGATCCGTCTCGCGAATTGGCTCAGAGCTTCTATAATTACTTTTATAATTAGCTCATGTTTAGTCCTCCTAATCAGTATCCGAACATTCGGTGTATCAAAAGTTAAACTTTAGCCAATGATTCAAACACACCCGCATCCATATATGTGTCCGTATCCAAATTCCTTTTCTCGAAAGATCCGTCTGTATCTAAACTCAGCCGTGACACATCAATGCTAGGGTTGTCTCCATCATTATCGTGTATCCAACCTCAATTATGCACATTTTTGGATGACTACCTATTCTCCGATGAGGCTAGGTTAAATGACGTGATCAAGCTGCATTCGTCTAGATTGCACCCACTTCTGTTCACTCTCACACGTGCAGTGCAGGAAAGAAAGTGAAACATCAGTCGGATTGCGTAATGTTTTCATTGAACTCCTAATTTACTACTGCGTATTATTTATCCGCGAACCGTAATTAGGGCTAGATGAGAAACTCGTGACTCGTGGCTAGCTCGGCTCGGCTTAACTCGGTTCGTTGTGTTTTCTTAACTAGCTGAGCCAGTGTTTCAGCTCATTAGCATAACGAGCTGGCTCATGAGCTTCTCGTGTGCATAATGAGCTCAATACAAACACAAGGATAGTAGACCGACGGAGGCCCAATAGCCATCACCCGGCTCGTTCTTTATACTCGTGATAAAAAATTGATCCTCACGCTCACGCTGGCCAACCACTCGGCCATCCCTAGCCCTATTTGGATGTAATCGGATTGACGTCAATCCACGTATGTTGGGTGGATTAGAGTGAAACTTGAACTAAATTCTACTCTAACCCATATTGACATATGTAGGTGAATCCGTCCGAACGAGGTAAGCGCCAAGGCCCATCAATGTTCTGGTCTCGTTCTCGTTCCCCTCCTACATCAGTCGTCAGCCCTCAGGCATTGGCATATCGCATTCGCACGGATGCGGCGCCGTCGCGGATGCGGGATGCCGCATGCTTCCAGGCCCTCTCTGTTTCTCGTCGCTCCCATGTCCTCTCTAGTCTTCAGGTCCTCGGTGCGTGATCTTGTTCGGCTGACCAAGAAGCCGGCTTGTTTTTTAGCTGGGACAGTGTTTTTCTCTCACAGTAAATCATCATGAATAGTGCAAATCAGCATAAACAGTGTTTTTTCCCCTTACCAGCCGAACAAGCTCCAAAAGTCAGGTGATGGATGATGGGTCAAGCATCCAATGGCAATTTCAAACCTGACATTAACCTCTTCGATTAGGGCACTCAACTAATCAGTTGTCGGCCCGCTTCCAGAAGGAACCGATCTAAAACCTCCCCGCCACGCGAAGCAAACGCACCAAAATCGCGTGCCTTCCTCTAGATTCGCTTCCCTCATTCCCACTTCAAGCACCAACCCGAACGCCCGACGGCCGCGCCGGTAACTGCCTCCGCCGCGCCGCGTCGCCACTCCGCGGGCACCAGTCCTTGCCATCGCGCTGCGTGGCGGCGTTCGAATGGATACGGGAAGCGGGCCTGCGCTCCAGTATCTTCTGTGCGTCGCCTGGGTCGCGGCCACCCTCCCCATCGCCGCCGCCGCGCTGCCGATCCCCGGGGCCGCCGGCGGCCGTTTCATCCACGGCCTGCTCTGCGCCTTCTCGTCCCGCGGGAAGACAGTCAGGCCCTCGTCCTCGTCCTCGTCCAAGGCGGTAAGATTGGTGCTGGATTGCAACAAGTTGTTGTTTGCTTGGCCCCATAGGTTCGTACTGATTTTCTGTTGGTTATGAATTGATTTGGCAACATAAAGCGTGCAGGGTCTAAACAAACCGTTGATGCTTGTCCCCATATGTTCATACTGATTTTCTGCTGGTTATGAATTGCTCTAGTAACAGAAGCGTGTAGGCTCTGAACGGTGCTTATGTCAACTGTGCTATTCTCTTGTCCAAGCTAAATTGCGGATTAGTTTGAAATCTACTCCCTCGGTTCCAAATTATAGTTTACTCTAGCTTTATCCTACATCTAGGATATTAATTATTAAATGAATGCCTTACCAAGATATATTTCATAGTGAATTTAATGAAATTAATTTGATGTTATAGATGTTCATGCATTTTTCTATAAACTTGATCAAACTTGGGGAAGTTTAAATTAGGACAAAGCAAAAGTGACATATAACGGAGAGAATAAAGGATATTTTTCTGTATCTACACATAAGGTTCCTATGAACGTTACATAGCTGTGGAATGGTTGCCATGGTGCTTGAAGAGGCGAGGAATAGGAAGTTTTGGAGTAGTCAGTAATCCCTGTAGCTCACACTTTAGGTTAGATGTGGTGCCATAAACCTTTACCTGTGTTCCTGGTTACTGGATAACTGCTTTCTTGCAGGATACTAGAGAAAATCTGATAGAATTTTGAGCTGATGTGATTACTTTGCTGAGATGTTGGCTTGTAAATTACTGAGCTCCTGCTAGATACTACCTCCGTCCCAAAAAGGATGCAATTATGGATTTGGATGGAACTAAGTTTATAGAAAATATTATTAACATTTATGAATCCAAATAGGTATACTATGAAAATATATTCCATGATTAATCTAAGGATACAAAATGTAAGTCAAATTTTGACCTAATGTAGTTTAGTTTTGAAAAGTTTCTTGAGACCTGGGTTTCCAAAAACATGATTATTAGCCTGTTAAATAGCTATATCAATTTCGAGGTTTAGTTACGATAATTTGATAATATTCAAACCACATGCCAAATGAGTCCCATGAAAACAAAAACTGATACGTGTACTATCAACAGCGAGATTTATTTTCTTGAACACATCAACAACGACAGTTAACTGGTTATGCATCAATTTTCTGTTGAGCAGTTTATTTTAAGCATCAGAATTTTGCGACTCTCAGAAACTCACTTATAATTCTTCTCTAAAAGTGCAGAGGTTCACCGTTCCACAAAAATTCTTCTTGCATTTTTACGTGGTGGGTGCGGTTGTGACGACTAGCTTGCTACTTGCAATATGGTTCTATGCATACATGAAAATGACACCTTTGATGCCAGAAGCATCGAGTTACTCCACAATTGCTAGCCATCTTGTTGGTGGTTCAAACTCATTCTCTTTGGCAAATTTCTGGTCGTCACGCCCCATGGAACACAAGTATCGTGTCTGGCGTACTGTATTTGTACTGATATTGATGGAAATTCAGGTCCTGAGACGCCTATATGAGACTGAACATGTCTTCCACTACAGCCCTTCAGCTCGAATGCACATCATAGGATATCTAACGGGTATTTTGTAAGTTCCACAGTGCCTTTTCATTTGACTTCCTACATTTTCTTGAGTTATATCAAGTAATGTAAGCATGCCAACTCGTATATATATTCCCTCATTTTGTTCCCTTCATGCTTTGTCATAATTCACATGCCTGTGCTAAAAGATCCTATATGGAAGTTCTTTTCTGCATTGTGATAGCTTGTGCACATCTTATCCACTTAACATGAAAATACTGATGGATAAGTCTCTGTGTTGGCTGGTCTTTGTGGGGCTGCAGCATATGGTCCTTGTGGCAGCATGGTGGTCTTGCTGCCCATCTAGGACAGCATCTAGGACAACATCTTAGCATCTAGAACTAGCATCTAGGACAACATCTAGGACTAGCATTTAGGACAGCATCTAGGACAACATCTTAGCATCTAGGACTAGCATCTTGGCATATGTTTGGCTGACTAGCAGCCTATAAATATGTATCCCCAACCTCTCAGGTTGGCATGGCATTTGTGTGAGAAATAAACCAGAAAATTGCCCCAACTCCTAGTGTCATCCTCTTTCGATGAGAGTAAGAATTCTGCTACTACCAAGAGTAAGAATTCACGACTAACAACTGGTATCGGAGCCGTACTATCCTGTAGCCTGAGCATCTCCTGCTCATCTCCTTTCCCAGCCTCACAACAGCCCCAGCTGGGAGCAGCAGCAGCTCCGGCCGCTCCTGCTCACTCCTCTCCCTCTGCGCAGCTCGTCTGAAGCAGCCCTCTCCCAACGCAGCAGCCCCCCAGTAGCGCGTCATGTCCGCAGGACAGTCTCAACGCTCGGTCGCCTCGAGCACGCGGCGTCGGCAGGAGGCCGAACTTGCCGCGGCAGAGGAACGCGAGCGAGCAGCGGCAGAGACCGCTACGGCGGCGGCAAGGGTGTCGAGGCTGGCAGCAGCCAGAGCGGAGGCGGAAGCGGCGGCGGCGGCGGATGCAGCGCGTGCGGCGGCAGCCGAGGTCGAGGCTCTGCGCGACAGCATCAGCAGCTCCGTTTCTGCTGACGATAGCGCCGACGCGGATCTCGAGCTGCTGGGGAGGGAGGTAGCGCGAGCGCGGGCGGCACAATGGGTAGCCGCGCACGCCCACGAGAGCGGCGGCAGCCCAGACAGGCGCGAACGCGCCGGTGGCGCTCCTGGAGGAGGCGCGCACGGCGGTGGCGCTCCTGGAGGAGGCGCGCACTGCAACGGTGGCGGACGGGTCGATGGACAGCGTGGCCTTCACAGGCAGCGTGGCTCTCCCTCCCCGGATCGGTACCGTGGTTACCACGGGCTCCAGGCTGTTGTCAGGGACGTCGGCCCCGGCGGTGGGTGGCCTACCCTCACTAAGACCAACTACGTCGAGTGGGCTGCGGTGATGAGGGTAAAACTCCAGGTGCGGCACATGTGGGAGACCGTCCGGTATGGCGACGTCGACTACGACCAGGATCGACGGACGCTGGATGCCCTCATCGCTGCAGTCCTGTCCGAGATGCAGTTCTCGCTTACCAACAAGCGGCCTGCCAAGGAGGATTGGGACGCCATCGCTGCGGCACGCATCGGCAGCGACCGCGCCCACAAGTCCACACTGCAAGCACTTCGCAAGGAGTAGGAGAACCTGGCCTTCAAGCCAGGTGAGGACGTTGATGACTTTGCCCTCCGTCTCAACACTCTGTTGCAGAAGATGGTGCAGTTCGGCGAAGACACCTACGGCGAGGAGAGAGCTGTCGAAAAGCTCTTCCGCTGCGTCCCCGAGAAGTACAAGCAGATGGCTCGCTCGATCGAGTTCATGCTAGATCTCTCCACGATGTCGATTGAGGAGGCGATAGGTCCCCTCAAGGTGGTCGACAGCGATGAGCCACAGTCTCTCTCGGGGCCCATCACCACTGGCGGGAAGCTCCTTCTCACTCGGGAGCGAGGGGTTGCCGCCAAGGTGACCGAAGAAGAAGGGGGAGCCTTCTTCCGCGTGACAAAGCGACATAAGCGTGGCAAGCGCGCGCAGGCGCTGCAGAGACGCCTGAGCCGGTAGCGAGGACGTCTGCGAGGGTGATGCCCGCAGAGGCGCCCAGGGCGGCGCCGCCGGCAAGCACAAGCTTAAGACGAGATTTACACCGCCGCAGAATCGGCCGCCTTGGTCATTGGGCCAAGGATCGCCGGCGACCACGACGCGGCGGGCCCATGTCGCGACAAAGCGTGGGAGGAGGAGCCGGCTCTGTTCATGGCACATGCAAGCATCGAGCTACCTCGGCGGCACCGCCGCGTGGCTCTCCTCCACCTTGACGAGCCAAAAGCACACGCCCTCCTCGGCGACGGCTCCGGCAACGACAAGACTGACGGGTGGTGCCTCGACACTGGCGCCACCCATCACATGACCGGTCGACGGGAGTTCTTCACCGAGCTTGATCCTAGCGTCTGAGGCTCCGTCAAGTTTGGGGATGCCTCCGGCGTGGAGATCAAGGGTGTCGGCTCCGTCATCTTCACCACCGTGTCTAGTGAGCACAGGCTGCTCACCGGAGTCTACTACATCCCCGCGTTGAGGAACTCTATCATCAGCTTGGGACAGCTGGATGAGAATGGTTCGCACGTGGTGGTTGAGGATGGAGTCATGAGGATTTGGGATCGCCGTCGTCGCCTTCTTGCCAAGGTAACCAGAAGTGCAAATCGACTCTACGTCCTTAGCGTGCAGATGGCACAACCCCTCTATCTCGCTGCTCGTCGGGATGACGAGGCGTGGCGAGCGGCACGCAGCGCCGGGCACCTTCACCGAGGCCCAGGCGGCTCGATTGCCGCGACGGAGATGGTGCGAGGCCTGTCGTGCCTCGACCATGTGGAGCAGCTCTGCGACGTCTGCGTGTTGACAAAGCAGAGGCGACTCCCCTTTCCCCAGCGGGCGAGCTTTCGAGCCAAGGAGAGGCTCGAGCTTGCGCACGGGGACTTGTGTGGCCCGGTAACACCGGCCACACCGGGAGGACGACGCTACTTCCTGCTGCTCGTCGACGACCTCTCCCACTACATGTGGGTGATGGTCCTCGGCAGCAAGGGAGAGGCTGCGGACGCCATCATCGGTAGCGTAGAGGTCTTTGTGGGGTAGTCGCGCCAAGAAGTCGCGCACCAACAACGGCGGGCGAATTCACGGCGGTGAATTCGTGATCGTCATCGCTACCGATAAGGGCATTCGCCACTACTACTTCGCTACCGTGACTGCCCGCAGCAGAGCACGGCGTCGTCGAGCGGCGCAACAGACGGTTGTGGGGATGGCTCGGGCCCTTCTCAAGAGAGGGGATGCGGGCTGTCTTCTGGGGAGAGGCGGTGGTGTCGGCCGTCTACATCCTCAACCGCTCGCCTACCAAGGCGCTCTACGGCAGGACGCCGTACGAGGCTTGGCATGGGCGCAAGCCGGCGGTCTCCCACTTGCGGGTCTTCGGCTGCCTCGCGTTCGCGAAGGAGCTTGGCCACATCCGCAAGCTCGACGACAGGAGCACTCTGGCAGTGTTCATCGGCTACGCGGAGGGCTCGAAGGCCTACCGCATCCTCGACCCGAAGACACAGCGTGTGCGCACGGCCCGCGACGTTGTGTTCAAAGAAGGGCGAGGATGGGCGTGGGACAAGGCGGTGGACGACGGCTCGGCTCCGACGCGTCACGACGACTTCATCGCCGAAAGTACGCCCACCGAGGGAGCGGGGGAGTAGGCAGCTCTTCTTCGACGAGCGCGTCTACCCTAGTCCCCGAGCCTCCACCGACCCCGGCGCCTGCTACTCCGACAGCACCACGCTCTCCAGCCAGGACCTCGGCTGCGATGAGTTCTTCGCCGACTCCACCATAGCCGACAATGCCACGCACTCCAGCACCGACAGACACCTCTCCGGGCACGTCTACTCCAACACCAGCTCGTGTCGAGCACAGCCCGGTTGAGCTTGCTACTCCGCTCTCTCACGACGAAGAGCGCATCGACGCGTACCACGACGGCGAGCGTTCTTGATACCGTGACGATGGAGAACCTTCTCGGCGACCAGCCGGTGCCGGGACTGGTGCCTCACGACCTGGAGGCGCAGTTGCACCTTGCGTGTGACGACGGCAAGCCTCGGTCGTTTGCAGAGGCCGAGAAACACGCGGCATGGGCGCCGCGATGCGATT